GGAGTGTCCAGTGTTTAGTTGACTCCAGACTCTAGCGTAGCAGAAGGGAGAGGAGTGACGTTGTCGACTCCAGACTCTAGCGTAGCAGAAGGGAGAGGAGTGACGTTGTTTTAGTGATCCCACAGATTCCAGTCGACAGATACTATCTGTGTTCTGTGACGTGGAAAGAGTGGTAAGTAGTTTATAGTTATAGTTTAGTAGTTTAGTCTAGGAGTTCCCGCTTCCTCTTTCACTTTCATTTATAGTTTCACGTGGATTACCTTTCACTTTACTCACGGTAGTTTTCCCCCAGGGTTTTTGTTTTATAGAACTTATCAGTTCCAGTTTTGTTGAAGTCCTCATCATTCAGAAGTCCCTCATATAGTAAGAAGAACATCATCATCAGAGTAGTAGTTTTAATTTAATAGTTGTTTAATCTAATAGTAAAAAGACATTATTTAGTTTAGTATTGATTGTGTATTAGTTAGAGCAGTGTGAGTAACTGAGTCACACCAATCACCATTTAATCACTCATTCACTATTTGAGGGTGAGTACATAGAGTAACAAGGTTACATTTGAAACACCATTTATTTGTATAACCTCTTTATTCATCTAATTTGTATTTATAATAATTGAGTATTATTTGTTATTTAATTAACCCAAGAACAGGGTTCCAACAGTAAGAGATACAAAATATAAAATATAAGATATAAGTGACTGTAGGTTTACGGATATAGCGTGGCGTCATTTTATTATTCTGGCGCGGTAAATCACGCTGGGTAATGAAATGATAGAGTTATACAGTATTTAAGTTTCGCGCGCTACGTTTACACAATATATTTGTGAGTCCGTCCCACGTTCCAGACGTACACTCCAGACAAGTCCAGACACTAGTGTAAAGTGGATGAGCTGATCAGTGTTCTGTGTTATATGCATGAATATATAGTTTCTATGTTTGACTGTGGTGTGTATTGTGTGTGTTATTTTGTGTGTGTAGTATGAAATCTATATGGACTAGTTTGTGTGTTCTTATTATAGGCACATGTCATTTCCATCAAAGTTGAGTTCTGACCATTCATCAGTGTTTCCAGCTTTTTGAGCATTGAGTAGCATAGTTTTAATGCGACCTTTAACAAGTGCAATTGGGGACGAGAAGTCAATCTTACTAGAAGGTTTAAGGAATTTATTCCACATATTCGAGGTTTTATATACAAACAAATTGGTTGCAGCGGGGTTAATAAAGTAGTTATCACGTCGGGGTGACTTTTGAAATAAATTGTACATCGGTATTGGAGTGTGAAGTTTGATTATTTTAAACATTTCAAGTAGACAGTGGTACTTATACAAATTATGCACGCAGAGTATTTTGTTTCTGCTGAGAAGGGGTTTACTTGATTCTCGTTTATAGAAGTCGGCTCCAAGTTTTTGGGATCCAATTGGGCGGGTTCTAGCACATGTTTTGAACTTATTACTGTATGCCTCTTGATCACCAAATAGAATACGAGTGCACTTTTTTTGAATTTTAAATATTGGTTCAAGCCTATTGTTCGATATGCCTCCCCACACTGAGATCCCATATCCTAGATGAGATTCGAAGAGGGTGTGGTAGAGGTCATTATACAGCTCTTTAGGTATAAATCTTCTCATACGGCAGAGTTTACCGACTTCACACTTTAATTTAGAACTAAGATATGCAGTATGAGGTTTCCAGTTAAGGTTTTTATCTATAATAACGCCGAGGAATTTAGTTTCATCAACACGTTTAATGACTGTGTTATTCAACGTTAAAATAAGATCATTACTATTACTACTACTACTAGTTACATCCTTCTTTCCTGGTGTAAAGTGAATGTAACAGCATTTCTTGATGTTAATGTGGAGAAGATTGCATTTCATATAATTGTAAACAGAATTCATTATAGTATTAGCTTTTTGGTAGAGATTCTGGACAGATTTGTCGACTACAAATATATTGGTGTCATCAGCGAAAAGTATAAATTTTCCTAGGTCTGATGAGTTATAGATATCGTTTATGTAAATTATAAACAGTAGCGGTCCTAAAACACTACCTTGTGGTACTCCACAAATAACAGGGAGTTTATCAGATTCCTCACCTAAAACTGAAACGTACTGCTGTCTGTTAGATAGGTAACTTCCAATAAGCTCGTTTGCGTTACCTCTTATACCATATTTGTCAAGTTTTATGAGAAGTTTATCGTGACTGATAGTGTCAAATGCCTTTGATAAGTCGATAAAGATACCTAATACATGTTGCTTTTCCTTTATATGGGAGTTTACATAGTCAACTGAGTAATTAAGGGCGTGGTTAGTTGAGTGACTCTTCCTAAAACCAAACTGGTTCTCAAACAAAACGTTCTGCGACACAAGAAAACTGTACAAACGGGAGTAGATTACTTTCTCAAATAACTTTCCGAACACAGCTAGGGTAGATACTGGCCTATAGTTTTCGAGATATTCTGTACCGTCTTTTTTGTATATAGGGCTAATTTTACCAATTTTCAGTCGGTCTGGAAAAGTTCCATTTCTCATGTGTTCATTAAATAATACTGACAGTAGTGGGCTTATAATCTTAGACGTTCGTTTGATGACGTGAATAGGGATGTCACTAGCTTTTCCATTCTTGAGTTCGCTAATGATTTTCTCTATTTCTTCTGGTGTACAATCGCTGAGAAATATACTTGAGGTATTTGGCCTTGGTAAGTAGTCCGTAAAGCATTGAATTGGACTTAGTCTAATTTGACCGGTTGTACTGTACGATTCATTCAACTTAGGGGCAAGAGATACAAAGTAATTATTAAATTCGTTAGCTATAATTCTACGGTTCATTATTTTCTCATTATTAATAACATCGCACCAATTTAACGAAAATTGATGCGCGGCGCCGCCTTGCAGTTGAATAGTGCATTGCGCTGCATGTAAAACTTGGCCTTAGATCGAGTAAACAACAAATTTTAAAATAAATGAACTAAATTCAATTTATAATTATTCTGGCCACGCTGATTGTGATTATTTGGAGGACTTTACCGCTTCGACGCGCCACGCAAACTAGCATTCTTGCTTTGCATCGAACCCATCGTCGATCGTTTCTTTGCTTCGCAGAGCAACGATCTCGATGGGTTGACACCGTCAATCAAGTAATTATGGATGCTCTCTTTTCATATTAATATAATATTAATTAGTATAATAAATATATGGACGTGAAAAAACACATGTATTTGTTTTGCATTTTTTGTCTATTTTTATAATTTTTACTTTAATCAACCGTTCATGGGCAAATTTTTGACTATATATAACTTTATTTTAACTAATCATTATAAAAAAACACATTTTTAAAATTATATTTAGTATTTGTAGCGCGATGCACTACTGGGTCGCGCCGCGCATCAAATAATTCTTCTCGCAGATCGGCGAGATGCACCACTGTGCCTCACCGAGCTGCGAAGGATCGACATCGTGAATCAAATTTAGTATTATTGTTTTTAAATATTTATTTCTAAATGGAATTAAAATTTTTAGCGTGCCGCGTATATTTTTTCCGATTTATACATTGCTATGAAAATCGAGCGCTAAAGTAAAAACTGTCGTGTTCTCGTAAGAATGACTTAAAAGTTATTCAGTGTTCCAATTTTAATGTTAAAAAGCCTTCCGCTTGTATGTTATTGTTGTTTTGTTCTTAAATTTTATTTTTACTGATAATCTCATGTTTTCTAATCAATGTGAGGGTCCCAATTTACATTTTATAATGTGTAATTCTGTTCGTTTCTGCAACATGGCAGTCGAAAGCATGCAGCTTGCTGTTTCAATTTCACTATGCTCAATTTCTATCGCTTGATACTGTTTTTTAAATTTAAAAATTTTTTTACAGGTACACATTTGTCCCACGGACTATACAAGTTTGTCTGTGATTTAACTTTGAAGTTAAGATTGAGTAAAAGTTTGCTCGTCATGCAATACTGAGTTTTATCTAACAATTATTCACTAAGCTTAGAGCTGTCTCATCTGTTCTATCTTAATTAAACAGATATTACAGTGGCTGGTGGGATATACAGGGTGTCTCAAGGGTCTTCTTTTTTGTAGGGGGTTGTGGTCAAGATGATCATTTTAAGATAGGGCATGAAGCCATGTTCTTACCGCTGTACAGTTTTTGAATGTGGAACATCAAATGACCGGGATAAGAATTTTTAAATGGCCAGAACCGGGACCGGGATTGGTTAATTTTGACCAGGACCAGGATTTTTTATAAAATTTCAAATTGGCCGGGATCAGTCAAATTTATGACCAGGACCGTGACCATGTGCTTACCGCTGTACAGTTTTTGAATGTGGAACAGCAAACGACGGGGATAAGAATTTTGAAATGGCTGTGACCAGGACCAGGATTGGTTAATTTTGGAATTTTTCAAAAGACCCACCCACCCCCTTTAACTGTTTTTCGGATAATAATCAAGACACACGACCCTTTTGCCGGCTTTTGCGGCACTAACTATTGAGAAATCACGGTACTAACTGTGTCTAAAATATATAAAATAAGATACCCACCCAGAAATTGCTTTAAACATGACTTTTTAGCTTAAAAAGGATTCGATATTGAATGTAAACTTTAAGCAATAAAACTAACAGTTGTCAGTTGAGATATCTATGCTTGATTAAAAACAGTTTATACAATGTACAATAATCTTAAGTCTACTCCAGTCTACACTCTACATTTAAGACCCACTATTTAGTACCATGTACTTACTGTTTTGGGGAAATGGGCAAATTATACCCACTATTTAGTACCATGTACTAACTGTTTTTCTGGGGAATGAGCAGCAGACCCACCACTTAGTACAAAAGTACTAACTGTGTTTTGGTAGAAAAAAAAATGACCCCCAACGTCACGTACAGTACTCGGCACCTGATTTCCCCCCGATCAAGCACAGTATTATGGCATTTTGATGTAGACATATATCATAAAATATCTTCTTATTTTGAAATATTTCCCTATAAGTTTTTTCAAAAGCCTGAAGGACTCTATCTAGATCTCTGATCAAGCTTATATGTTAAATGGAATCAATTTAGCCAGAATAGTTATGCAAACGTTCTAACAATCTGAAGATGAAATTGTGACAGAAGCAAATTTGTCAACGAGTCTTTGACTAGAGGTTTGTGAGATTATTTCATTTCAGCTAAATTTACATTACTGATCATGCGTTATTTAGTTATTTGCAATTAATTCTAATGTTTTGATTATAATGAAGATATAGACACATATTTATTGAGGAATTTAGACCTGCATGGTTAATTACAAGAGATATACTGGATATAAATCGTATATTAGTTTTCTCAAAGACCTGAAATAAGCAGTTAATAAGTAAATAAGAATAGGTATGTACAGATTTTACTAACTATAAAAACATCTGTCCTGGTAGCCGGAGAGTTTATAATGTGTCGTACAACTCTGAAGCATAACTAAAGCCCATATTTTAAAACTCTAGTTGTGCAAATTCCTCGAGGAGACAAGTATTTGACTATTTAAAGGTCAATGTGATTAAAATTATTTTATAATTATTTGTATATTTACAATTAAATAATCATTCAAAAAATGTTTGATAAATTAATAAACATGCTATACTCGTCAAATCGTTATACTAGGTAACAAAAAGGGTTGTGCAGATAAATAGTCAGGAATTGAAACTGCTCACTAACTGAGACATTCTATACAGAACAAAACTTAACCATCTAGTCTATTACATGTAGTGGGTCTGTTTCCTGTATGTTCACTAAGCCATACTGTATTTTTATTGATAAAATATTGAATCTAAATTTTCGATCTATTTTATCATAATTGCTCTAACATTGTACATATGATATTTGTGAGTTTCAAATAAAAATCGTAATAAGACATTTGAAACGTTCTCATCTCATAGTTTGCATGATAATGGTAGTTAACGTGTAGTTAACCTCAATTCGTTATCAGCAGGAAATACTCAAACATTGTCCAAAAGTGGCACATTTCTATAATTTGTACACATCCATCAGTGATTGTCGTAGAGTTAGTACAGTTAAAACCACAATTATTAGATTTGTTTAAAAATTAACCTTTCAATCTCTAGCACTATTTAGAATGGGGTCAGTTTCGTTTCATTGAAGTGGCGACTATACTTCAGCGACTTTCAAAAGGCGTCAAAACATTCAGTTACTCCGTCTGTAATTGATTCCACCTCTAGTCTTAACTAAAACTACTTTTGTTTTAATTAAACATGCCATATTTTATTTTTGCGGACATTGTAACGGTAAAATACCTGAAATTCCTGAAATACCAAAAATTGTTTACAAAATGATGAAACCCAGATTTACCACAAACCCCGATTTACCGTGCTGCAGTAAATCGGGGTTTGCGGTAAAGTTATGCTTTAATTAAATGTATTTTGTGTACAGTATGAAACACTAGCTTTTATACACTAGTTTATACACTAAGATAACAACCGTTTCAGTTGCAGCTTTGAAAAACCAGTAGAATCCATCTCATGCTTTTGTGGTGTCTTGTACTTCTTCTAACATGTAAGTAACCAGTGCAAGTCTTTGTACTTTAGTAACCAGTCGTTGTAACTAGTGTCTGGGTTACACTCGCTTAAACCGTTAGAGCTTTTCATCGACAAATGGGATGCGGCCTTACATGCAGCATGCTATAATATAGCCAGGGTTCGGACTTAATCAATAGTTAACCTGCATATATAATATCAGTATATTTGATTACTAGATACACGATTGAACTTTTACAGATAAGATAATTTTAAGAGCATAAAGTCATTCCATCAAACATTCCATCAAAATATAAATCTCAATTTGGCAGGTGTACAAACGACAAGTTACAACTTTGTGATCAATGACAACTCCACACTTCAAGTCTACACGGCTGGTACAGTGCAGCTCGTGGCTGAGAATGTTAACACTTCCAGTTCTACATTCCAGTACCCTTATCTATTCTACGTGAAGGTTAGTGTTCTGTACCCTTATCTATTCTACGTGAAGGTTAGTGTTCTGTACCCTTATCTATTCTACGCGAAGGTTAGTGTTCTATACCCTTATCTATTCTACGTGAAGGTTAGTGTTCTGTACCCTTATCTATTCTATGTGAAGGTTAGTGTTCTGTACCCTTATCTATTCTACGTGAAGGTTAGTGTTCTGTTCCCTCATCTATTCTACGTGAAGGTTAGTGTTCTGTTCCCTTATCTATTCTACGTGAAGGTTAGTGTTCTGTTCCCTTATCTATTCTACGTGAAGGTTAGTGTTCTGTACCCTTATCTATTCTACGTGAAGGTTAGTGTTCTGTACCCTTATCTATTCTACGTGAAGGTTAGTGTTCTGTACCCTTATCTATTCTACGTGAAGGTTAGTGTTCTGTTCCCTTATCTATTCTACGTGAGGGGTAGTGTTCTGTTCCCTTATCTATTCTACGTGAAGGTTAGTGTTCTGTACCCTTATCTATTCTACGTGAAGGTTAGTGTTTTATACCCTTATCTATTCTACGTGAAGGTTAGTGTTCTGTTCCCTTATCTATTCTACGTGAAGGTTAGTGTTCTGTTCCCTTATCTATTCTACGTGAAGGTTAGTGTTCTGTTCCCTTATCTATTCTACGTGAGGGTTAGTGTTCTGTACCCTTATCTATTCTACGTGAAGGTTAGTGTTCTGTACCCTTATCTATTCTACGTGAAGGTTAGTGTTCTATACCCTTATCTATTCTACGTGAAGGTTGTTGTTCTGTACCCCTATCTATTCTACGTGAAGGTTAGTGTTCTGTACCCTTATCTATTCTATGTGAAGGTTAGTGTTCTGTACCCTTATCTACTCTACGTGAAGGTTAGTGTTCTGTACCCTTATTTATTCTATGTGAAGGTTAGTGTTCTGTTCCCTTATCTATTCTACGTGAGGGGTAGTGTTCTGTTCCCTTATCTATTCTACGTGAGGGTTAGTGTTCTGTTCCCTTATCTATTCTACGTGAAGGTTAGCATTCTTTTCCCTTATCTATTCTACGTGAAGGTTAGTGTTCTGTTCCCTTATCTATTCTACGTGAAGGTTAGTGTTCTGTACCCTTATCTATTGGTATAGAATTTTCAGAAATATTCCAGGAATTAATTAGTCTATACCTCGCTATATAAATCTATAAACATGCAGCTGGAGGTAAACAAATTTCTTGTTCTTACTTATACCACCAATTAACACGTGACCTATTACTTCCACTTCGGACTTGTAATGATATTTATCTTAGGAGCAGAAGGTGGTACAGTACAAATACAGTATACACACTGTTTATCAGTACAATGTTTTATCAAAAGAAACAAACCAAATTGCTACCAGTAAGTTGTTTGGCGTTGTTTTATTTTTCGTGTTTAGTAATGGCCGATATGTGTTATGGTTCTATATTCCAATTCTTCGGGATTATTAATAACAGTTGAATTAATTCTTCTTTAAAACAGTCCAGGGGACCTTGGCCAGGGTAGTCAATTTGCGTAACAGTAACGAGGCATTCCCTGTGAACTATGATTTTGAGTATCTATCTGTAGATTGATTTGATTTATTATTTTTGAACATGAAAAAATACGTGCAGTTAAAAGAAAAATGATTTTTGTTTTAATATTGGATATTCTATCAGATTTGCTGTCAGTGTCGGGTCTATCAGTATACTACCCAACACTATACATTTTGGAAATGGGGGAACATCACGTAGATCCAAGTGGCAGACTTTCAGCGGTGTCTCTAACGACCGGCAAACAGAAAGTTTTAAAGAGAATAGACGATAGCAGCGCTAGAGCCCTTTTCTTTGATCCATTAAATGGGTGAGCTTCGCTTGCATAATACTGGCGGTATACTCGTTTGAGAATGAGAAATCCTTGTTGTAGTGCGACAAAATTGCCCGAATCATTACATTTTGTAAGGCGCGGAGAGTTTATAACGCGTTCTGAAACGCGCACTTTTGCGCGTCAGTGCGCGCCACATGTCGGTGGTCTTTGATCTGGTGTTCTTTGTTTTTGTCTTGTGCGAACCGCCGTATTTTATGAAAGTGTAATTGCATCTTCCAATTGTGTGCTTGTTACATCAAATTAAGCTTTCTATATAGACTCTACATAATATGATTTATGTCAACTCCTCCCTGCAGGACTCTTCTCTACAGCCTGTCCAATGGTAGCATAATGGGATATGACGTCAAAACTGGAGAAAATAGAATAGTGACATCATCATATATTGACGTATGGGCGTACGGACTTTGTGTAAATGATCAAGTGAGTGAACAGAGTAGTTATTGTACCAGCCTTTTTAAGTGATTTTCTTGAGATGATGCAGTTATTTACTCCGGTTATCATATTTTATTAATATTAAGTTTCCCGGGTGATTGAACATAACTTATAGTGAAATTTTATAAAGATGACGATTTTCCCAGGTACTGTACATATACAACAGCAGAATTCTGATCGCTCATGATCTGAAAACTGGCACCAATTCATTAACGAAGGACGTAGAACACTGGAACATTCTATCGGTGTCTGGCCCGACTTTGTGTTCCGTTAAAGACGTGAGGGATAGATAAATATTCATCTTTATATCCCTAAATTTGATGTTGTCAAAGACAATGACATTCAAGTTCGAATAATTAGCTTAGATTCAAGGGATTAATCACCTAATTTGACCAAAACAATTTAATTTCAGATCATATGGTCGAACGATGTTACCATGGCAGTTTCTACAAGTTCTAATACGACAGTACAACAAGCCCTCAAGTCCCCCGCCCTCGCCCCCTCCACTTCACTTATTTACCTGAGCATGTACCAGAACAGTCTTCTTCCTCCCTCCGATCTACCCCAGTGTCAGAGTTGTGATCTCTGTATGGTCTTCTCTGAAATATTACCTTTAACAGATATGCTTTGTGGTTGCGAGTTTGGAAAAAGGGAAAATGGTTCTTGCCGAGCAGGTAATATGTTCTGTAGCTATGTATATAAATTACACGACTCCCTATATCTAAAGCTAAAATATCGTGAAAGCCAAATCACTGAACAGCACTGCAAAGGTGTTCCTTCTCATATACAATATACATTATACATATCTGTATATAATCTGTGAAACTTCGACTAGTAATAATATTTAATTTCTATAAACCACCTTTCTTGTCCAGTTCCGGAGAAGTATCTGGTATTAGCACAAATAGAGACCCTTTCCCTGTTGGATACATCAGACCCCACAGTTTTACACAGACTCCACATTAACACCGAGGAGAGAGAATCAGATGGTAGCGTGAGCTGGAGTAACACAGCTAAGCAGTGGTCTATGAGGGACGTAGTGTTGGATTCTTCAGCTGAAACTGTTTTCTGGATTGAATCTACCTTCATGGGGTTAGAGTTATTTTACTTTGGTAATGTTATGAGTAATCGTAGTGTCTAACAGCATCAACTAATTGTATTCTGTTGATTTTAAATTTTGAAGATTTAAAGCGTATAATGCAATGCCTGCTCACTAATTGATAATAGGGTAATACTGGTAATTACAACTCTCCTTATTTCAGTGCATATATTCCTGATGAATCGCGGATCATGAAAATGAAGATGGGACACTCGTCTTCTCCTGAGATTGTATACTATGGTCAGTCAAATTTGTGAACTTTAATGTTTAATGGGGAGGATTGAACTTACTGTACAGAAACTAACCCGCTGAAACATTTTTCTTTTCTTTTTTTCTCTGTTTTTTAGTTTTCTCTGAAACTACTCATTAACAAAGATCCTTATCTGGATACTTCCAAAATTACTGATCGCAATAATATCAATTTCAGATCCTCAGCGACCAGTGGACAGTTTGGCTCTAAACATTGAAGACGGGCTGCTCTACTGGCTGGTCTCCAAAGCTAGTCTGGTGGTGGCTGCTAAAGTCACATGTACTGTAGAGCTCTGTTATAAGACTACACTTGTTAACAGGGACGTGGAGGAGGACACTAACCAGCTCGTTAGTTACTTGTTTTACTTTACTTTAATTTTTATTTTTACTGTCTTTTGCTGCAGGAAATGTGTTAATTATGCTAATTTTAGCAGGATTAATGATCAGACTACATACAGTGTATATTGAGTAATTTATACGCTGTGATCATAATAACATAGACTGTTCTAGAAGTTTGTATTCTACAGACAGTTTAGTGTACTTTTTTAACAAGTCCACGTAAAATTATAGAAATTCCAGCTGAAGCACTAATAAGACAAAAAACGGCCAAATCGTCATCAAGATTTGAACTTCAAAGAGAAGTTGTGAAGCTGTTTGTTCTTCTGTAAGCTAAGCTGTGAAGTACATAATATTTATATCCTTGACAGGAAGTATCAGCAGCTACGGGTTACATGGTGTACATATTATTTATATCCTTGACAGGAAGTATCAGCAGCTACGGGTTACATGGTGTACGTGTCGGTCACGAACAAGATCACAAGAAGAGAGTTGGACGGGAGTAACCCTAAAGTTATCCTCTCTGCCAATCTGCTGGTCATCAGCTGTATCGCTCTTTCTGGGGAATCTGTACGTTATATTAATTACTTTTTTCTGAAGTCCTTAAATTTATTTCTACTTTATTTGATTTCATTTAACTTCGTTAGTTAAGTTAATCGAATATCAGGATACCTCGTTTTGCTAAAAACTTAGCTCTTATCGTTAAACTGTGCAAATTCAAACATAATTTATGATTTTCTGTACTTATGCCCCAATTTATTTTCTCTTTCACAATCTTCGAATAAATAATCCAATTTGGCAGGTGTATATACTAGAATCAAGTGAGGGTAAGATAATCAGCCTGCCACTAGCCGGAGGAGAACAAACAACTGTCTTCAAACAACGCTCCGAGTTTATCCCTATCAGTATAGCAGTCTCTGGACAGGATGTCTTCATCCTCAGCGAGTTTAAGAGGACTGTGACCAAGGTTAGAAATTTTAGTGTTTGAATCTGGTAAAAACTAAAATTGCTAAGCTAGGTTATAAAATGAGAGGTGCCTGACGGTTTTCTCACAAAATCAATACAATAATGTTAAGTCGATGCAATAGTGTTAAGAGATGTCTTCAAATTAACAACATGTACTAGAAAATGTCGTTAAAAATGTTTATCACGTCGCACTACTTCTATACTACTACTATTCTACTATACTGTGACTTTGAGTTTAATTAGTCGATTGATTATCACTGAATTATTCAAGTGATATGGTCATGTTAAATTATAGTTATGAATTATGCTTACGATGACTACAATAATTGTTGATACATATTTGAAACTTTCCCTCAAGAAAATGTCACATTTGTACAATTTGACTTATATTTTACGATTAGTAAGGGTAGACAGTAAAACTCAGTAATTCTGTATCTCATTCGACAGAGTAAATAAGATACATAACCTACAGCATCATCTGCAACATAACAAAACTTCCGATCGCTAAGTGTGCGAAACAAAGTCCTTTATTTCCAATTATATAGCTGCTGTGTGTTACTCGGGCGGCTAGTCAGGCGGCGGGTCGGGTGGCTAGTCAGGCGGCGGGTCGGGCAGGAGGGCGGCTTGTTTAGAAGCACTTCCTGTGGACGATAGAAGGACCAGCCTCGTCATACTCTTCCTTTGTGATCCACATCTAAGGAGGAAATGTGCGTTAGAAAACGTAGTTAAATTATCGTGAAATTGATCAAGTTCAATCTCGTAAATTGGTTTCGTCTCCTTCCAAACATTTCGCAATAGATCGATTGGAAATTGGGAAAAATAGTGAAAGATATAATAGTGAGTGAACTCACGGCTTGGAATGTGGAGAGGGAAGCAAGGATGGATCCTCCAATCCAGACGGAGTATTTCCTCTCTGGAGGAGCAATGACCTTGACCTTCATGGTGGGAGGAGCCAGGGCGGTGATCTCCTTCTGCATCCTGTCAGCGATACCGGGGTACATGGTGGTACCTCCGGAGAGGACACAGTTAGCGTACAGATCCTTCCTGATGTCAATATCACACTTCATGATGGAGTTGAAGCAGTTCTCGTGGATTCCATGGATTTCCATTCCGAGGAAGGCAGGCTGGAAGAGAGCCTCTGGGGCCCTGAATCTCTCGTTTCCAACAGTGATGACCTGTCCGTCGGGGAGTTCGTAGGACTTCTCGAGGGAGCTGGAGCTGGCGGCGGTGGCCATTTCCTGGTCGAAGTCGAGGGCAACGTAGCAGAGCTTCTCCTGCAAAATCATCACGTTAGATGGTGGTCACAGGTATCTTCATTGCATTATTGTGAGGAATTATTGGCCACTGATGTTTTCAAAATTGTTTGCAAGAAAGATGGTTATATAATTGAGTGCAAACCTTGACATCCCTGACGATTTCCCTCTCGGCGGTGGTGGTGAAGGAATAACCTCTCTCGGTCAGCACCTTCATGAGGTACTCAGTCAAATCTCGTCCAGCCAAGTCCATACGCATGATGGCATGGGGGAGTGCATATCCTGGAGAAAGAATTCGATTAAACATTTTTAAATTGATGGCAACGAATATATTATCAAATTAAGAAAGGAATCTATATCATTTATGATTGTAATTTTAGATAACTGATGAATTGAAGGCTTAGAACTTACCCTCATAGATGGGTACGGCGTGGGTAACACCATCTCCAGAATCCATGACGATACCGGTGGTTCGGCCAGAGGCATACAGAGCCAGAACAGCCTGGATGGCAACGTAGAAAGCGGGAGAGTTGAAGGTCTCGAACATGATCTGGGTCATTTTCTCTCTGTTGGCCTTGGGGTTGAGGGGAGCCTCAGTCAGAAGAGCGGGGTGTTCTTCGGGGGCAACTCTCAGCTCGTTGTAGAAGGTATGATGCCAGATCTTCTCCATATCATCCCAGTTGGTGACGATTCCGTGCTCGATGGGGTACTTCAGGGTGAGGATACCTCTCTTGCTCTGGGCTTCATCTCCGACGTAAGAGTCCTTGTTTCCCATACCGACCATGACACCTTGATGTCTGGGTCGTCCGACGACTGAGGGGAAGACAGCTCGGGGAGCATCATCTCCGGCAAAACCGGCTTTGTTCATTCCAGATCCATTGTCGATGACTACGGCGGGGGCTTCGTCCTCATCCATGGTAAAGTGTTTTGGGCTGCTGATAAACTCCTAAACTTCAACTGTAAACTAAATGGTATACTGGAAGAGCTCCACTGCGGCCATTTATATTGTTGTTTAATTGAATAACTGCCATGTGACCGATTTCACTACTTTCCCTGGAATTTTGCGGTTTTGCGACAAATATTTCCAAATATGGGCATGGTCCGATGAACATGGCTTCAAAAAATTCAGTTTACCGGTAGGAGGAAATTCAATTTAATGCTTACAATGGCAAAAAACCTGACCAGCATCGTGAATAAGGTTTACTGTACAGTTTTTAAAGGAAGCTCCTAACAATTAAATCTAGCCAGCTGTTTTAGTAATTGTTAAATTGGGCTGACCAGCTTGTGAACACCAGTTATGATTTAAGCAGCACTGCCACAATTGCTACCACGCCGCAAATCATGATAAGGGTAGTGTTTAATACGCAAATTGCAAAATCACAAAGCAGGAAAAATTAAACTCCGCTTTAAATACTAAGATAAGGATTCATATTTAAGGCATATCTCACAATATCTCTTATATCTCACAATATTTCACATATTTCACATATTTCACATATCTTACATATCTCATAATATCTCACTATTTGTAGGTGAACCTGAGAGCGCAGAGCTCGGAGACGATAACTTCAGAACTAACGGGACTGAAGAGTGTGGCTAGCAGTAGGGAGCTGGTGGGGGGCCACTGTGCTGCTGATAATGGGGGGTGTCAGCACTTTTGCTTCTCTCTTCCTGGCACTCATCACAGGTTTGATCAACTTACAATAACTTATATTAATTTAAATTATTGTTCAATAAAAACAAACTTGTTTAATAATCCAAAAACAAAACATATATTTTAGGAAATTAACAGATGAGTACAAAAATAATGCTGCATTATATCATAAAAGCTCGAAATCTGGTTATTTAGTTTATAAACTCAGATTATACATAAATGTATAATCTGAATCCCATTGGGTGTGATGTATCGATTAACTTTCATCAGAACGATGGAACATTGTCATCACTGAGTTTATTCAACACATATGAACATGTTTACAAGATCCGTCAGAACACCGAGTCAATCCTCCACCACACTCCTCATTATCTCCTCCTTCTTCTTCTCCGCACTTTTCACAGCTCTTCTCACAGTTCAACTCCATGTAGTCACTGTAAATGCTGCTAGCTTGACAGTATCCACTCTCAGCCCAGGTTGGACAGTCACCCTCTTCGTCAACACAGGTTTTCTCTGTTGCCTCTTCTGCTTCCTCTGCTTCCTCTCCTTCTCTGCACACTTTACAGGATTTTCTGCAGGTGGACACCATAAACTCCTCGTATTCGGAGTTGGAACAATAATTTTCGTATGCCCAGTTAGCACAATACTCATGATCATCAGTACAAGAACTATCCTGTCCCTTCTTTTCACATTTAGGAATAGTGCAGTACTCCCATCGTGGGTTCACCCCGTGACTATTGTAGCACCAAGGTCTCTCCGACTCCTCATCTGGATTCCGACAATAGTTCTCGTCGAGTCCTTTGTCTCGGTGCCTCCTGGGTTTAAAGGAGTGCTTGTTTGGACGCTGCCTGTTCCAGCTTTGGCACTTTAAACCAGACTCAGTCATACTGATAAAACCTCTGTAGTTTACTCCTGTGGGATCATCATCTGGTAAACAATCATCGTCACTTTCTGTTGGCATTTCTGTTGTACTTGTCAAATCAGTTCCACCCTCAGTTCCACTTTCCTCCTCTTCGTCTTCTCCACAAACCGGAACATCGCAGTATTCCCACCTAGGCTCTGTGGACTGGGAATTGTAGCACCACGGACCTGCTCCTTCGTGGTCTGGATTCCGGCAATAGTTGTTGCTCTCTAAACCGGTATCTGGGTAGTTTTCTGGGGTTCGGGAGTGATAGTTGGGGCTCTGGGACTCCCAGTTTTGGCAGGGCAGACCTGACATAGTTGTACTCTTAGTGCCTCGATAGTTCAAACCTAATTCATCGCTGAGTTCTTTGCATTCTTTAACCTCTGCTTGCTCTTCCTCTTCATCTTCGTTTTCTCCTTCGTCCTCTTGATCGTCACCTCCGTTTCCGCCATCATTTACGTACAAATCGTTATACTCGATGTAGTAGGCATATGAGAGAATTCCACAAATATCCCTTCCTCTTTCGAATCTAGCGAACCCGTTCATTCCCCAATCTGCACCCCAACTGTTTTTAATCTCGAAGAAGTTCGAACCATATCCTGTCAAGATGACAGCATGATTAGGATAAGTAGGATCCTTACATCCGTCGTAGATACCCTCTCCAACACTGTAGAAATTATCCTCAACCGTGAAGGCAACAGCTAGCGGCATCTTGTTCACCAGATCAGTCAAAACTGCAGTTTCTGTCTTAGCGGACTGGGTGTAACCTGTAACTTGAATTTTTCCAGCAATATCGTTAGAATGAGAACCATAGGAACACGTCCCCATCCTCTCTTTGTAAGGGTAGTTAGCTTCAGATGGGAGATGGTTCTTTTCTATAACAAAGTCCCAAGCTGAGGTATACCAGGAACCTTCACAGCCGTCCTCATCACTTCCAAGATGCTCATAGGTACAGTCGAGGAGTTCTTGTTCGGAAAAGGAGAGAAGTTTTCCTGTAGCTGCCTTGTAGGCGTACTCTATCGGTCCAATAGCACCGTAACTCCAACAGCTTCCACAGCCTCCCTGGTTCTTAACTGGTGTAACGTACCTAAGGGATTGGTGGTTTGATTAAAAAAATGCTAACAACATGCTAAAATGTGAACGTCAGTTATCATCAAATTGTGAGCGAACTATGGTTACTTGGTATAAGACAACCGAAAGAGTCGCAGTATAAACCATAATGAGAAAAATAAAAGGAATAGGTTGTGTACAAAAAATGAAAGGAGGTTGTGTCGTCAGTCGTACCCTTTTTTGTTCCAGTCGAAGGTATTTGGTAGAGCCTGCAGTGACCCAGAAGACTGCAGAGCAGCTGGTCTGGTATACTTGCCGCTCTCTAGCAGACTCATGTTCCGACTCAATCCCAAATATTGTTTCCTTGTGGAGGTGTCCATAACAATGAAGGAGTTAATTGTACACTGGTAGGATGTCTCTCCTTTCTTAAACTTCTCGTTGTGAGATTTGCATTTGTTAAGGTTCCGTGAAAATACATTTCTGAGAGTGGTTCATGGTTAGCATCTCCAGTACAGACCTCAGGACTGACGATAACGTTTGGTATTGGTGAATAAAAACTCTCTCCTGCACGGAAACAACTTCAAACGCTCAGATTTGGTGATATTTCCTACCTCTTATGAGAGTTAGGACCAGCTCCAGTAGATGCTAACACCAGCTTGTCCTCTGGATCAGTGTACGCCTCCATGTACATTTCAAATGCTTGGGAAACGCAGATATCAGAGTTCAGGATATCATCCTTCACATTGCCAGAGATCTCCTTGCTGCTCAGGTTCTGGGTTGTTGTGAGAGTGAACAGCTGGAAGGCGAGAAATACGATCTTGTAAGCCATGTGTTCTCTTCGCAAGTGGACAACCAACTAAAATTATCGTTTGGTAAATGAGATCGATTTATTGAAGTGGAAAATCAGTTTAGTTACATTAATCGTATATTTAAACAACATAATCACCTCTGCCGTTTTCTGACAAAAGTGCTTAAGTAACACAAGGTTCATTTTGTGCAAATTGACTTAAAAGATTTCAATTCTGTAATTGCTCTGGGCTAGCTGCTGTCAAATTTAAACTGCACCCACTATTGGCCATCGAAAATAACTTAAATAAGACGAAAAATTAGCCTTAAACTGTTGTGATGAAACACTGGTTGTAATATTGGGACACGCTGAAATTTAAAATTTAAAAATTTCGTTATCTGAGAAAAGTGCTTGAGTGCACCAACATTAGTGGGAACTTTATCTGTGATCATTCTGACCTAAAAGTTTACGACAAATTGATTGGTGATGGTTTAAGAACACCAAAACACTCCCTTCTCCTCAGCGGATTAAAAAATAGTGACAACGAGCGGAAATGAAACGTTGTATTGCAATTCCTTATAAAATTTTGTTTTCGAATCGGAATCCTACCAGCATTTTGACGCTTGTTTTGACGAAGAGTCGATTGGTGATAGTACGGGATAATAATAACTTGATAAATAAGTTTCTTTCTTTAGAAATTAAATTAAGAACTCAGATGAGGCTTTCTTCATAAAGGCCAAGGTTTTGTGAATTATCTATATCATATTTTAAACTTGAAGAATTCCCCCCGGCAACCAGGACATAGTAGAAAAAACACTGAAAATTGACCTAAAAATGACCCTCTGGCGTGACAAATTTCAGCTCGCAAATCGAGTTGAAACCTCGCCATTTTTAGCAGAGTTGTAAAAAAAGGATAGAAATAGGCTATAGCATTCTTAGAATTTTTATTAAGGCTTTAGATTTTCTATAATTAACGTCGGAAGTGAGGTAAAATAAACGTTAGAATAATTGCGTTATTTTAGTCAAGGTAAACAGCGTTGTTGCTTAGCAACATCAAGAGATTGCACGTGCGCGAGCAAGAACAGATAAGCAACGCGCGTTGTCATGCTCTATGATACGTCATAACTAGCTCAAATTACAATTTACACTATGAGGCCTATGACTATCCATTACTTTGGTTGTGATTGATGTTTTTTGATGCAGTAAAAGTATCGATTAGGGAATACTTAAATAAAACCTTTATCGTTATCGGCAAATAAAAATCCATACAATTTATATTACAGTATTACGGAGCTAGATCGTAGATAGATAGATGATAACAAGAAACTATAACATAACTGATTTTAAATTTCCTTGAATAAAGCGTTCAGCTAGCGGATGTACAGGTTTGAGGAAGCCTATGAGCTAGGTAAGCAGATAACTTAGTGTTTACCATGTTATAAGGCACAACACTCATACTCGAAAAAAGCTTTAAAATCGTACAAGAAAAATGTATCATGGTCAGGAACAGGTTGTAATAATACGGAATATTGAAACTGTCTCTTTTATCACGAATCAATACGAACAAAAAAGTAGATTGATAACAGTGTGAATATGAGGTATATAAGATGAGCTATAGAAATGAATAGATATGTTTCGCTCTATAAGCTTATAAGGCAGCTGACCCAGGCCGAGTATCGAGCACAAAATAAAAGGATGAAACATTTTTCCTGTAAGCTTGTAGTAAAAACATACTAGCTTGTTGAGTATTACATGCGATTAGCTATTCTTACTTTACATCACAAGATCCAATCATGTCCTAACATTCCCTACTCAAAGTCAATATCCCATTCACTGAAATTGATAAGCTAAGAAGGTACACGAAACGTGTGTGAACAATGTTGCGTTATCCAGCTATTGTCGTGCGAAGTACCTACAGCTTTACACGTTACGAGGCACATTGATCCTACTCAAGTATTGTATCCTAACAAATCTTACAAATCTTCTATCCAGATACTATTTATTCAGGCAATACTATCGAGAATATATCTATTTATATTTAAAACTTGACGACAAAATCCATAATTTCTACAGTATAACAGAGCTACGTAGATGATGAATAAAAATTAAAACATAACTGATTTTTTAAATTTCCTCGAACAAAGCTTTCGACTAGCGGGTTTCTAGTTAATGATAATTGATATCGTAACGCAAGGCAAAGAAAAACAAGCGTATAAGAATATAACATAATTGTAAATAATCCTGTACATAAATAAATGGTAAATGGTAAATGAAAATACACATTAATAAATATTAATCAAATACATGGACAGAGCTGGGAAGATCAACCCAAAATACTATACTGCGGGGGCTCATAAGTCTACAAAGTTTTTGAACTATATCTTTCTTTTTAGCGCTTGCTATACCCCGTGGTTGATTTTGTGGGAAAGCTATGATTATACCTAACCGGATCAATCTCTCTTCTTTCTGCCGCAGAAATGAAGCAGAACGAAAGGAATCCTCGTTGTGCTCTGATTTCCATTCCATTTGGACCGAGCAACGCTGAAGCCTGATAACCTTCGCCTTCTCGAGCAGTGGTCTTTCTGTTTTGCAGTGGTCGCTTGTCCCATATGACCTAGGCCAAGAATGAAAGTCCGAACAGGCCATAGAAACAGCAGTACCCACCTTTTCCACTAGTTATGTAGCTGTCCGCACTGTTTGATGGACAGTTCCACTTTATGGTGATCAACTTACAATAACTTATATTAATTTAAATTATTGTTCAATAAAAACAAACTTGTTTAATAATCCAAAAACAAATCATATATTTTAGGAAATTAACAGATGAGTACAAAAATAATGCTGCATTATATCATAAAAGTTCGAAATCTGGTTATCTAGTTTATGTATAATATGAGTCTTATTGGGCGTGATGTATCGATTAACTTTCATCAGAACGATGGAACATTGTCATCACTGAGTTTATTCAACACATATGAATATGTTTACAAGATCCGTCAGAACACCGAGTCAATCCTCCACCACACTTCTCATTATCTCCTCCTTCTTCTTCTCCGCACTTTGCACAGCTCTTCTCACAGTTCAACTCCATGTAGTCACTGTAAATACTGCTAGCTTGACAGTATCCACTCTCAGCCCATGTTGGACAGTCACCCTCTTCGTCAACACAGGTTTTCTCTGTTGCCTCTTCTGCTTCCTCTGCTTCCCCTCCTTCTCTGCACACTTTACAGGATTTTCTGCAGGTGGACACCATAAACTCCTCGTATTCGGAGTTGGAACAATAATTTTCGTATGCCCAGTTAGTACAATACTCATGATCATCAGTACAAGAACTATCCTGCCCCTTCTTTTCACATTTAGGAATAGTGCAGTACTCCCATCGTGGGTTCACACCGTGACTATTGTAGCACCAAGGTCTCTCCGACTCCTCATCTGGATTCCGACAATAGTTCTCCTCCAGTCCTTTGTCTTGGTGCCTCCTGGGTTTGAAGGAGTGCTTGTTTGGACGCTGCCTGTTCCAGCTTTGGCACTTTAAACCAGACTCACTCATACTGATAAAACCTCTGTAATTTACTCCTATGAGATCATCATCTGGTAGACAATCATCGTCACTTTCTGTTGGCATTTCTGTTGTACTTGTCAAATCAGTTCCACCCTCAGTTCCACTTTCCTCCTCTTCCTCTTCTCCACAAACCGGAACATCGCAGTATTCCCACCTAGGCTCTGTGGACTGGGAATTGTAGCACCACGGACCTGCTCCTTCGTGGTCTGGATTCCGGCAATAGTTGTTGCTCTCTAAACCGGTATCTGGGTAATTTTCTGGGGTTCGGGAGTGATAGTTAGGGCTCTGGGACTCCCAGTTTTGGCAGGGCAGACCTGACACAGTTGTGCTCTTAGTGCCTCGGTAGTTCAAACCTAATTCATCGCTGAGTTCTTTACATTCTTTAACCTCTGCTTGCTCTTCCTCTTCATCTTCGTTTTCTCCTTCGTCCTCTTGATCGTCACCTCCGTTTCCACCATCGTTTTCGTACAAATCGTTATACTCGATGTAGTAGGCATATGAGAGAATTCCACAAATATCCCTCCCTCTTTCGAATCTGGCGAACCCGTTCATTCCCCAATCTGCACCCCAACTGTTTTTAATCTCGAAGAAGTTCGAACCATATCCTGTCAAGATGACAGCATGATTAGGATAAGTAGGATCCTTACATCCGTCGTAGATACCTTCTCCAACACTGTAGAAATTATCCTCAACCGTGAAGGCAACAGCTAGCGGCATCTTGTTCACCAGATCAGTCAAAACTGCAGTTTCTGTCTTAGCGGACTGGGTGTAACCTGTAACTTGAATTTTTCCAGCAATATCGTTAGAATGAGAATTATGGAAACACTTCCCATCCTTTTCCTTGTAAGGGTAGTTAGCTTCCGATGGAAGATGATTCTTTTCTATGACAAAGTCCCATGCTGAGGTATACCAGGAACCTTCACAGCCGTCCTCATCACTTCCAAGATGCTCATAGGTACAGTCGAGGAGTTCTTGTTCGGAAAACGAGAGAAGTTTTCCTGTAGCTGCCTTGTAGGCGTACTCTATCGGTCCAATAGCACCGTAACTCCAACAACTTCCACATCCTCCCTGGTTCTTAACTGGTGTAACGTACCTAAGGGATTAGTGGTTCAATAAGGGCCCCGAGCCTTTTCTAGGACAAAAATGTCAACAACATGCTGACAATATGTGAACGTCAGTTATCATCAAATTGTGAGCGAACTATGGTTACTTGGTATAAGACAACCGAAAGAGTTGCAGAATAAACCATAATGAGAAAAATAAAAGGAATAGGTTTTGTACAAAAAATGAAAGGAATTTCAATGTACGTACCCTTTCTTGTTCCAGTCGAAGGTATTTGGTAGAGCCTGCAGTGGCCCAGAAGACTGCAGAGCAGCTGGTCTGGTATACTTTCCGTTCTCTAGCAGACTCATGTTCTGACTCAATCCCAAATATTGTTTCCTTGTGAAGGTGTCCATAACAATGAAGGAATTTACTGTACACTGGTAGGAAGTCTCTCCTTTCTTAAACTTCTCGTTGTGAGATTTGCATTTGTTAAGGTTCCTTGAAAACACATTTCTGAGAGTGGTTTATGGTTAGCATCTCCAGTACAGAACTCAGAACTGACGATTCGGTATTGGTGAATAAAAACTCTCTCCTGCACGGAAACAACTTCTAACGCAAGCTCAAATTTGGTGATATTTCCTACCTCTGTCTCTTATGAGAGTTAGGACCAGTAGATGTTAACATCAGCTTGACCTCTGGATCAGTGTACGCCTCCATGTACATTTCAAATGCTTGGGAAACACTGATATCAGAGTTCAGGATATCATCCTTCACATTGCCAGAGATCTTCTTCCTGCTCAGCTTCTGGGTTGTTGTGAGAGTGAACAGCTGGAAGGCCAGAAATGCGATTTTGTAAGCCATGTGTTCTCCTCGCAAGTGGACAACTAACTAAAATGATCGTTTGGTAAATGAGATCGATTTATTGAAGTGGAAAAGCAGTTTAGTTACATTAATCGTGTATTTAAACAACATTATCGCCTGGTAGTTGCTAATTGATTGTTTGTTTATTTAATCATTAATTAGTGTGATTTTGGAAACATTCCAATATTTAATTTACAAATTACGATATGCTGTTAAACATAATATATTTCAATATTTATAAATAGAAAATATCAGTGCACGTACAAGTTACAACAAACTTCTCAGTTTTGGTTGAATATTTAATTCTTAAACAAAGGATGATCTAATATGATCACTGATATTAAAGCCGAGAAATAATACTAAATTCGAATAACAGATGTCGACTTCATAGTATTTAAGTATCAATAAGCATGATAAGTATCGATAAGCATGATAAGTATCAATTCTAATATCCAAATTTTGGATTTATTTAAAATTCTTAAACGACCAGTTATAACCATCCCTTGTTCCAATTGATCGGTGGGGTACTGCAAGATTATGAAACTGATTCAACGTTGATTTAACAGGGCCCAAATGAGATACCAAACGTGAAATGCAAAGTTTTGAAATTTGTGCGTGTTTGACATACGTATCCATATTTGATATCGTCTGAAACGAAAAGACAAGTAGATATGATTTTAAGATACAATCAGGCCCATCGGGTAAGTCGGGTTACATCCTTAATTGAACCCCTCGTACATTAGATAGCAACAATAGGCTGGCTTTACTCTTCAGGCTTAATCTTACTATATATAAAGCGAGACGATATATATATTGTGTTTATCCGTACCATTTTACTGACACCGCGGCATCTACTTTAATGCGACTTTCCGCAAAAACCATAAAAGATATACAACTGAAACTTTTTTGACTGAGTCAAATGTTTTAATGGCCTCCAAATAAGCATGAAAAAATAAAAAATTGGCCAAGGAATAGGAATTTTAGAGCCCAAAATTTGGACCCCCAAGTGGTGTCAAAAACGCGAATTAAATAAGTAATAATTATTTTAGTTTTTTTAGGGTTATACGGGTTCCTGCTAGTTAGAATAGTCTGAGAAGGAATGAATACTTGTCGGAAGTTCAAACAGGAGGGAAATTTGCTAAAATAAACAAAGTAAGGTCCCTGAAGATTTGGGGCCCGAGAGTTTCACCGGATTTCGGCCCTCTCGGAGGCCCTGGTAATAAGCCACGCTTTCAGATTTGTAGTGATTGGCACATATTTTTTATCTAAGACACGAAAATCCGGTGTTGTGCAGCTAGTGATATTGCTTATGACAAGTTAGATTTAAGCCACTTAAGCTTTTTCGCTCACATTTATTTTACACGGTTTTATTTTTAACGCAGGAGCTTGATTGGGCTTAATTGATTTGGTTTTGGGTGCAGTTGAAACACTTAAAAAAATTAATTTCGATATTGTGTTTGAAATAGCAACACGATAAAATCCAACCGGTCAATTATTTGCTGAAGAGCAAGTCGTTCAATTACTGTAGTTAGGATCAGCGAATTTTTTTCGTTCGTGGGTTGAAGATTATGTCAAAGGTAATCATCGTGGCAGGGGAATGTTGTAAATTGTAGAGTGGCCAAGGTGTTCAATGCTCATTCATCCCATGATCATGCCTTATTAGAAAGTTTTAAATGAAGGTATTTCGAAGTGCACCAACTTGTATAAACCCGAGTTGCTAATCCTGTTTAAATTTGACCTTGTTCAATGCAATGGAAACGACTTAAATTAGTTTTTAAACAATTCATTGTTCACATTTTCAAGTAATATTGTAACAAATACAATGACAGGGATAAAAATAACACTACTGGTCATAAAAAGCTTCTGCATTAAATTTGGATGTGTAATTTATTGATCAGTGTTTGATATATCATTATGTACTCAATCTCTGTTTTAGCACATGTGTCTTTGTCTACAAACACCATCGGAACATCTTGTTAATCCACCTCCACACTCTTCATTATCTCTATCTTCTTCTTCTTCTTCTTCTTCTGGAGCTTCTGTCTTCTCCTTGGTCTCTTCTGTTGCGGGTGCTTCAGTCGAGGATGCTGTAGTTTCAGTTGTTTTATCAGTGTTCTTATCCGAATAATTGGTCGAGGGTGCTTCAGTTTCAGTGGTTTTGTCTGACTTCCTCTCCCACCACTCGGTGTATGATTCTGTTTTATATTCAGTGCCTCCTTCGCCGCACATTCCACAACTCTTCTCACAGTACATCTCCATGTAGTCACTGTGGAGGCTACCAGAATTACAGAAACCTTTTTGAGCCCAAGCAGGGCAGTCTTCCTGATAGTCCATGCAGTTGAGCTCTTCTTCGTCTCCTCCGCACACTTCACACGACTTTCTGCATGTAGAGGTCATGAACTCTTTATAACCCGGTTCGGAACAAAAATCAAGATATGCCCAATTAGCACAATACTCATGATCATCAGTACAAGAACTGTCTTCTTCTTTCTTCTCACAGTTAGGAATATCGCAGTACTCCCATCGTGGGTTTCTCCCTTTTCTGGTGTAGCACCAAGGTTTCTTAATCGCAGAGTTCCCATCTGGTCGTCGGCAGTAATTCTTGTCAACTCCCTTGTTATCATTCCAGCTTTTACATTCCCGACCTGATTCAGTCTTGCTGATAGAACCCCTGTAGTATAATCCTGTTGGATCGTCTTCTGGTAGACAATCCTCTTCATCTTCTGTTGCCCACTCTGTTGCCCACTCAGTTCCACCCTCAGTTCCACTTTCCTCCTCTTCATCTTCTCCACAAACCGGAACATCACAGTATTCCCACCTAGGCTCTGTAGACTCGGAATTATAGCACCACGGACCTGCTCCTTCGTGGTCTGGGTTCCGGCAGTAGTTGTTGTTCTTTATCCCGGTCCCTGGGTAGTTTTCTAGAGTTCGGGTGTGTTCGTTGGGGCTCTGGGACTCCCAGTTTTGGCAGGATTTTCCTGAGGTTGTCGTTCTCATGGTACCTCGGTAGTTCAAACCTAGTTTGTCGTTGGGTTCTCTACATTCTTTCACCTCCTTATTCTCCTCGGTTGCTTCTTCTTCTTCGTCCTCATTGTTCTCTTCCTCCTCATTTTCCTCCTCGTCCTTCTCCTCTTCGTTTTCCTCGCCTTCATTATCTTTTTCGTCATCTTCACTTTCATCTTTACCTCCATCGTTTTCGTCCAAGTCTTTGTACTCGATGTAGTAAGCATACGACAGAAGCCCACAAATATCTCTTCCTCTTTCGAATCTAGCGAACCCGTTCATTCCCCAATCTGCACCCCAACTGTTTTTAATCTCGAAGAAGTTTGTACCATATCCTGTCAAAATGACAGCATGATTAGGGTGAGTAGGTTTCTTACATCCGTCGTATATACCCTCTCCAACACTGTAGAAATTATCCTCAACCGTGAAGGCAACAGCTAGCGGCATCTTGTTCACCAGATCAGTCAAAACTGCAGTTTCTGTCTTAGCGGACTGGGTGTAACCTGTAACTTGAATTTTTCCAGCAATATCATTAGAATGAGAATTATGGACACACTTCCCATCCTTTTCCTTGTAAGGGTAGTTAGCTTCAGATGGGAGATGGTTCTTTTCTATAACAAAGTCCCAGGCTGAGGTATACCAGGAACCTTCACAGCCGTCCTCATCACTTCCAAGATGCTCATAGGTACAGTCGAGGAGTTCTTGTTCAGAAAATGAGAGAAGTTTTCCTGTAGCTGCCTTGTAGGCGTACTCTATCGGTCCAATAGCACCGTAACTCCAACAACTTCCACATCCTCCCTGGTTCTTAACTGGTGTTACGTACCTGGAAGATATAAGAACTATCAGCTATTACTAACCCTACTTTGGGTTTAAGAGACTTCGGCAAGCATAAGGGATAGCCGCAATTACTAATCACGCAATAAGACATATATAAGGAAGAAATTTCAATGTACGTACCCTTTCTTGTTCCAGTCGAATGTATTTGGTAGAGCCTGCAGTGACCCAGAAGACTGCAAAGCAGCTGGTCGGCTGTTCCTCCCGTTCTCTAGCAGACTCATGTTCTGACTCAATCCCAAATATTGTTTCCTTGTGGAGGTGTCCATAACAATGAAGGAGTTTACTGTACACTGGTAGGAAGTCTCTCCTTTCTTAAACTTCTCGTTGTGAGATTTACATTTGTTAAGGTTCCGTGAAAACACTTGCTGCTGCAGTTTCCTGATATATATTCCTTGTTTAGGGCCACTGGTACTATTTTGTTGAAAGCGGATCCGATATTCGCAAAACTGGCTATAGAGTGAAGGCCCTTTTAATTTATGTGGAAAATATAAGTTTAAAACTTTGCGAATTCCCTTTTGAAAATGCATACCTCTGTCTCTTATGAGAGTTCGGGTCAGTCGACGCTAACATCAGCTTATCCTCTGGATCAGTGTACGCCTCCATGTACATTTTATACGCTTCCGAAACACTAACATCGGGATTCAGAATATCATCCTTCACATTGCCGGAGATCTTCTTGCTGCTTAGCTGCTGAGTAGCCGCGAGGGTAAACACCTGGAGGGTGAGCAATGCGAGTAAGATCTTGTACGCCATTTTCTTCTCACAACAGGACAAGCAAACAAAAATGGATTGTTCAGTAAATGAGTTTAATTGATTGTAGGTGATAAGTCGCTTAGTTGTACTATCGTCTATGTAAACAAAATCGTCGCTTGGCAATTGTTTAAATTCGGTTGTTTATACAACTAATTGTCTAAATAATATGAGGTTATTTTGGATACTTTTCAAATCAGTGTTGTCACATCTAATCACGCATTGATACATACTGACATTGACTATACTTACAGCTCGAATTTGGAAATAAGATCATCTTCATGGTATTAAAGTAGAACCGCGATCGTGTGCTAGAAAAGATCAAGATGTTAGTCGTTATCTTTATCAGCAGTGAGATAAGATCAAACAGACCAATGGTAGATCAGCATAAGGACACGTGATCGTTCTGACCAATCGAAACGAAGCAGCACTAGCAATTTAGTAGTATGGAGCCAACAAGAACGCAGTTAGTGCGTCGCATGGAGCCAATCAGTTCCTTTTGCTGGGAGCCCATCAGGATGTAGGAGTATTGGCACTGAGAGTGATTTACCGAACCGTGTCTTGGCATGCTTAACCCTTATCTTATAACCGATAACGATGAAGGGAAATTATTTGTAACCAAAAGGTTAAATTTCGACGTGCGCTTGATAACCCATCTTCTGTAACTTGCACGTCAAAACTCAAACCTGCATCCCCATATCTGCAGCTTCACAAAAAATTTTTTTAAATAGTTGGCAATTCCCATACACCCTGTCGGCCGTCACCCCACCCACAACCCCACATATTAGTGGGAACTATAACGTCATTATACAATATGTTGTTTCGGTTATTTAATGATACCTCGCCCAGATGTGGATGTGCTGACGGTTTCATCCTCTCCGCTGACGAGGTGACGTGTCAGGAGCCCCCTCTACTTTACCTTAGCCTGGGAGAGTACATCCAGCGCATCCATACCTTCCCTGTGTCGGGGAGTGCCGGGAGGGAGAATATCGTACACCAACCTGGGTCCAGTATCGTGGCTCTCGACTACTTTGAGGACAAGGTAAGTTTCTTTTTCTTTATTAGATAATTTATTTGCTTGTTATTTGGTGCTCAGTTTTTGATTGGGTACTTGAAGTTCGAAATGAGACATATGTATGGCATGTGTTTGATTATAGGCTCAAATCAGATTAAGTTGTCCTTTTTGTAGATCATAATATTTAAGTGTATATTAAACTGCAGTTTATTTGGAAATACAGTTACTGATTTTTTAATTAATTTGCACGATACAATAAACCAATATTTCCATCTAATCCCATTTTAGGAATGTCTGGTATGGATTGACGCAAAAAACAAAACAATCTTAAAGACACACCTTAAAGGAGTTAAAATACCAGAAAATGGCATCGCAGGTGGCACTCCTATTGTATTTGACGGACTTGTCAAACCCACGGTTAGAACCAATCCTCTCAATCATATCGATTGGACTCGTTTCACTTATTTAAATCTTATCGTATATCCGTTTCTAGTTCATATTAGGTTCCTTGTGCGTTTATATTGTACATTTTTCTAAAAACGAACCACATTATTAACAGATTATTGACTGATTTTAAAAGAACTGATGATTAACTTCCTATTAAGTAATTATAAAGTGATTACTCCACCCCCACAGGACGTATCAGTAGACTGGATATCAGAGACAGTGTACTGGTCTGATGAAGGTCGGGACTCTATAAACATGGTATCTCTAGACGGTGATCTGAAGAAGGTGCTGGTGAAACATGCTGTTAATCCTACCTCCCTCGTGGTGTATCCTGTCTCCGGGTGAGTTCATCATTGGTCAGGGGTTGGAGGACTTCGACGCTTCGACGCGCCGCGCAATCTAGCATTATTGCTTCGCATCGAAGGGGGGAATCTTTTATAATATCATAATTATACCCTATGTTATTACCGCTTTTAAGAAGTAAGTAAAAAGGAAATCGTTTCTTTAGTTAGAGTAAATTCTGTATCGTAAAATAAGTATGATTTAATAAGGAGGGATGTATGATGTTATGTTTCACCAGGAAGATGTTTTGGATAGGATGGGAAGCTCACTCCGCTGTGATTAGGTCTGCAGGAATGGACGGTAGCAACGTTACAACCCTCGTCACCAGGCTATCCAACTGGCCCACTGATATCACTATTGACTATCAGGTATTGTTCTTTTCGTCGGTTGTTTTTCGTTCATTTTGAGGACTTTCCATCAAACATTTCCGATCCAATCCCTAGTATACACTATAGCTATTAGTCCTTTTTTAGAAAAAATATACCTAATAAAAAATAATACAAAACTCACGAATAACCTCACTTTGCCGCAGAATGACCGAGTAGTTTGGGTGGACGCTCGAGACAAACTAGTTGTCTCGTCCAGTCTCGACGGTACTGACATCAAATACACTTTTGGTTCTCCTCGCATCAGATACCCTCTTGCTCTAGCAATCTGGTTAGAAAATATTATTGGTTTATTTAGTTATTTGCATCGTTATGAGTTACGTGAACATAACATTATGATATTGAGGATACATTCAAATTAGAATATCAGGATCTTTGCTATCTTTTAGCGTGGAATCTCAAACAATGGGCAGTAAAACTAATAGCCCGATTTACCATGTCCTGATTTCTGTTTCCTTTGCCACAAACTCCGCGGGAAAGGGGGTTTTACTTTATCACTTATTTAAACATCTGAGAACAATATGCCCAGGTATGGGTCTACATACTGGGCAGATCTACACATGTCTGCCGTGTGTGTAGCCGAGGGAACCAACGCTTTTGACACGATGGTTGTGGAGAGCAGCACTGTAAATGTAACCGACATGGTGCTTTCTCACTCTGGTAAGTTGTGCTTTCTCACTCTGGTAAGTTGTGCTTTCTCACTCTGGTAAGTTGTGCTTTCTCACTCTGCTAAGTTGTGCTTTCTCACTCTGGTAAGTTGTGCTTTCTCACTCTGGTAAGTTGTGTTTTTTCACTCTGGTAAGTGTGCTTTCTCACTCTGGTAAGTTGTGCTTTCTCACTCTGGTAAGTTGTTCTTTTTCACTCTGCTAAGTTGTTCTTTTTCACTCTGCTAAGTTGTTCTTTTTCACTCTGCTAAGTTGTGCTTTCTTACTCTGGTAAGTTGTGCTTTCTCACTCTGGTAAGTTGTGCTTTCTCACTCTGGTAAGTTGGGCTTTCTCACTCTGGTAAGTTGTGCTTTCTCACTCTGGTAAGTTGTGTTTTTTCACTCTGGTAAGTGTGCTTTCTCACTCTGGTAAGTTGCGCTTTCTCACTCTGGTAAGGTGTGCTTTCTCGCGCTGGTAAGTTGTGCTTTTTCACTCTGCTAAGTTGTGCTTTCTCACTCTGGTAAGCTGTGCTTTCTCACTCTGGTAAGTTGTACTTTCTCGCTCTGGTAAGATGTGCTGCAAGGGGTTTTTAGTAGTGCAAAGCAGAGGTTCACTACTATGAGCTTTCATAAGCTTGTTACGCCCCTAGTAAGCGTGAATAAACATGTTAGGATGTCCAATTTAGGTGTTAAATGGTGTTAAAGATGAAATTTCGAAGACAAAATTCATGGCATAAAATGGAGAAAATGGAGAATTACTCTTGGGTTTTTCCATTTTCTCCATAGAAAAAGTCTCCATTTTATGCCATTTTATGCCATTTTATGCCATTGCCCCCCCCCCCCCCCCCTGGTAAGTTGTGCTTTCTCACTCTGGTTAGTTGTGCTTTCTCACTCTGGTAAGTTGTGCTTTCTTACTCTGGTTAATTGTGCTTTCTCACTCTGGTAAGTTCTGCTTTCTCACTCAGGTAAGTTGTGCTTTCTCACTCTGGTAAGTTCTGCTTTCTCACTCTGGTAAGTTGTGCTTTCTCACTCTGGTAAGTTCTGCTTTCTCACTCTGGTAAGTTGTGCTGCAAGGGGTTTTTAGTGGTGCAGGGGGGGGGGGGGACAATGGTATTTTATCCCGCCATTGGTTTGATATTATGCTCAGTCTTTTCTCTTAGTTAATATGGTATTTGTTTATGGGTTTTATGTATCGTCACAGGATATATTTTACATATTCTACCCTACTTGCCCGCCAGGAAAGCAAGGAAACATCAGCTCTTGTAGTCATAACAACGGGAACTGTTCCCACGTGTGTGTACCCAGCTCTGATACATCACGTGTCTGCTTGTGCCCCCTCAGGACTTACCTTGATATCGGTACGTGTTTTTATACCAGGTTCTGAAATCACAATTGAGTTTTTGGTGTGCTATAAAGTGTGCCACAGAGGGTAAGTCATGTACTTACTATAATGTTTCTAATGAAGTAAGGCATCTCATATTGAAGTTTTTGTCGTGGTTGTTAAAACTTACCTCTCACAACCCAGATGGAAGGACGTGCAGGGAGTCGCCCCAGCGTATGTTAGGTGTGGACCTGAACCCTTACCTACTCGCAGTCGCCTCCCCACCTACCAAGTCAATACATTATACATTTTATATTTATTTCTTAGCCTTGCCATAATATAAATCATTACTTCTTAAATCAGTTACTGTTTCCTAACTGTTTACATTTTATCTGAATTCTGAAAGTGTATGAACATTTAAAAGCAAGTATTTTAATTTAGAGGAGTTCGATTTAATTCTTCCTTTAAATTAGTATAATAAGTAAGTTAACACTGCACATGGTAACAGAATTAATTATATCTCATTAAATCACCATGGTAACTTAGTTAACAGAGCTCACTAATCACCATGGTTACTTAGTTAACAGAGCTCACTAATCACCATAGCTACTTAGTTAACAGAAATCACTAATCACCATGGTTACTTAGTTAACAGAGCTCACTAATCACCATGGCTACTTAGTTAACAGAACTCACTAATCACCATGGTTACTTAGTTAACAGAGATCACCATGGTTATTTAACAGTGATCTTACTGGCCAGGTTGTCACACCAGAGGTTGAGTAACGCAGTGAAGATAGCTGTTCACTACGAGCTGCAGAGTATATACTGGCTTGACAACGTCAGGAGCTCTATTGAGGTTTGTCAACACTCTATTTAGGGTTTCTTGGGATTTATTAAACCTGTTTAAATTAGATATAAACAAGTTTTATTGCTTTAAAATGTATGAAGATTGAATTATGCTAAGAATGGTATGATATAATGTGATATGTTGGATCACTTGGATACTGGATCTAGGCAGTAAACACCTCAATTTTGAGGAAATCTTCGTAGTTTATCTACATTATAAGTCTAATGTTTTAAGTGTAAGTATGTCAGTTAATCAGCTTCAAAGAATGTTTGAGCGAATCTTTTTGAAAAACTAAGCCATGAGAGAAATCACAGAAGCAAATTAATTAGGATATTTAAATACAAAATTACTAAAAACCACAATATAAGACATAAAAACCTTTTATCACCGCAACCATCCTATTTAAACCCCGAAGGTTAGTTCTATATTTCTTGATAAGTTTGTCCTGTCTATATCACATGGCCTTACTTACTTAGAATATTATGATGATCACATTGTACTCCGCTGCTGTATAAACTGAATACTACCGCTGTGTTGGAGCAAAATGTAATTTCATTATTTTCTGTGAGCTGGTCACAAGTGTGTATTAGGACGCATTGAAATTACCGGACCACGATGTATGGGGACTTGCCATGGCAACATTAAAATATATCGACTCTGTTACATCGTTTCCTCTTAATATAATTACCCTTCTTATTACGATCTTGTATGTAATTTTGTGTCTCTTGTTTCAATTTGGGTGTTTGTGAAACTTTTCTTTGGCCTTCCTTATGGTGATTTTAATCACGATCGTTCTGAATATTGCTAATATCATGTGTACAATGTACATGTTGTTTTGGTTAATTGAAGCTGCTTGCTTTATATCCCCCCAAGCCGTGCATTTTCGTGTGACGTGATGGTGTAAGCGTAGCTATTTATATAGCACTATAATTGGCTATTGCTATGATACTTATTACCTTATTACCTTATTTATTAATTACTTATTACTTAACTTATTAATTACTTATTACCTTATGTTTGTTACTTCTCTTACTGCTGACTGTTATCGACCGCTCGGCGCTCTCTAGTTGCAATAGCTCAGTGATAATTATAGTTATTATAAGATATTTAATAATCTGTCTTACCATAGTCAGACATGACATTTACAGACGAGGAGTTCTCAAAGTTCTCAGAGATTTTGGAAAGTTTGGGAATCCGTCACCCTAATCCATCACCCTCCGACCAAAAGTACGTTACACTAAAAGAAGGAATATCGAAGGGAATACTGCAGCAGTTCTTCAGGTCACAATATCACAAAAATAAAAATGTCGTAGAGTTTATCCCAAAATACATCCGACCAATGATAGATCATCCAGTTAAATTTTACAAAACTGAGGCTAGACCAACTGAACGTCATCCCAAAGAAAAGACGAAAAACCCTGTTCAAACCGCAGGCTTTGAGCACGAGTTACTGGTTCAGACAAAATTTGAGAGTTTAGGAAGTTCTTCTCTTTTTTCAGGAAATAAGATAACCATATTTCACAACATGAAGAAGGATTTTTTAAAGTATAACAAGCTGAAAAAGGCGAACTTGATGAACAATGAGTACGATTTGGTTGTGTTCGATGCCATGCACGGAGTGTTCTTAGTCGAAACCAAAAAAAGGGAACATGCAAACTTCAAAGGAGACAGTCTGAAAACAGAACTTGACAGACAGCAGGAGCGGATGAAGTTTATGTGTTTGATCAAAAAATTCCTTGGAGTTAAAACTCCCATCACTCCAGTTATCTTGACATCCGTGACTGAGAAACCCAATAAGGATCATCTCGTACCTTACGGTAATTCGTATGTCCTCGGAGTTAACTTTGGGGAAAATTTTGAAAAAACCTGGAAGTTCTTCCTCAAAAGTCTGACCCTAGCCACTGTGTCCCCAGATGACATAGAAAAATTTGCAGTAACGCTAAACACGCTACTTCGCTTTGGAGACACACCCTTTCACCTTCACAAAAACTTGACAGGAGGTAGTATAACCACTCCGGGGATTTATCAGCAGACAAAAAAGAAGAACATCGTCATTTGGACCAAACAACAGAGCGAAATCATAGACCTCATTCAGGATACACTTTCTGAAAATGCTAAAGAGTTTGCTGCAGGACCATGCCAGACAACCCTAAAATTGGTCATTTCAGGCTGTTATGGCTCAGGTAAAACATTGATGTTGTACGAAGCAGCCAAACTCTTCTGTAGAGAGAATAAAGAGCAGAGTGTAGAGAAAGATGCAAGAAGAGTAGCATACGTTATCTATGACAGAAAAGATGAATTTTATAAAGAAGGTAACATGTCCCTCCTTCACAAACGACTCGAAGCGTCCTTCGAAGATGAGAAACTTACCAAAGGAAGAGTCAGCGTCGTTAATTTAGCAGGATATAAACAATCGAATATATGCTGTCTGGTCGGATATGTTCAGTCTTTAGGCACTGTTGACCTTATCTTAATTGATGAGTTCCTACTATTTAACGAACACTTATCTGATAAACGTCAACGTCTGATCTGCGACGACCATTCAATGACTAATGTAATCTTCACTACTCTAGACAATACGGATTATGATAAACTCTGGAAAGAAGTATTTGAGGATTTTAAAATATTACAGCTAAATGGAAACCTCCGCTCCTGTCCCAGCATCTGCAATTATATATTGGCGAATCCAGGAGCATCCTCGTCTGGAGAAGTAGGTTACAACCCACAACGGGTCGTACCACTTACAGTTGATCACAACGTTACTGGAGGTATCGTTGAGGTGATCAATTTGGAATCCAACGCCGACCTTTCTCAAGTAACCGATAAAATAAAATCGATACTAAAGACCGAAGAGAAAGAGACCGAAAAGAAAGAGACCGAAAAGAAAGATAATATTTTTGTTATCAACAACAAAAGTAGGAAAAGTATCGACAATGAACTTGTTCCTAAACTAAAGAAACTTGGAGTGGAATATGGGGACTTTAAGAAATTTATCGGATGCGAAGCTGCAACCGTGATCTACATTGGTAGAGAGGTGTATGACTCCAATAGAGACGAAGCACTTTCTAGAGCCACTGTAAATCTTATCTTGTTTTTATATCCGGGATAAATAACTTTGTTTTTAATATGACCTGCGAAAAATGTAGCATCATTCAAGGACTACGGGAGATTTTAGCCTAGAACAATAACCCCTTTCTTAATCTGCTTTCCTCTATCTTACTTATACATTTCCTATGCATGGTTATCGTATTAATTTCCGACACATCTTACATAAATTGATGTTAAATCTTATTATATCTATATTGTCTTTATTTTCTTCTTCTGAATGAATGAGTATTAATGGGTTGTAAAATAGCTTATTTATTATAAATAATAGTCAATAAACAAGCTTCGAACAGTACAAATAGTTGGCTGTAGCGCTAATATAGTTAGTGTAAATTCTGATTTCTAACATGATTGATTACATGTCGGGGACTGGCCCGTGGTACCAGCCAATGTTTACTCAAAAAAATATATATATCAATGGTGATAAGAAATTCAACCCCGTGGGGCACATGCATAAATATAAAATGTAATGTAAATGTTTTGCTATATCGGTAATTTCAGATGGTACACGTTAACGGTACAGGCTACAAGACAGTATACAAAGGCACATACCAAGCTACTGACATTCAAGTAGACTGGTTAGGGGGGAATATCTACTGGACAGAAAGTGACTCTTTGTCCCTGAAATGTGTTACCCTCAACGGACAGTACAACAGATTAGTTGCTCGTACGAGTTACCCGCCCGTCTTTCTTCTGCTGGATCCTCCGAAGAGGTTTGTTTTGTAGTGACGTCACACCACGTGTAGTGACGTCACACCACGTGTAGTGACGTCACACCACGTGTAGTGACGTCACACCACGCGCAGTGACGTCACACCACGTGTAGTGACGTCACATCACGCGTAGTGACGTCACACCGGTTCGTTTTGACGATTACTATTTGTTACACTTCCACTTTACATTGCAGTTTATCCTGAGCTTCTATTAGGAAATTAGTGGCCTACTTGATATTTTATAGATTTCATATTATGTCCAGGATATTTGTATATACAGGGTATATACACTGTAGCAATGTTTAAAATGAACGTTTGATTTGGTTGGCTGTTAGTTCAAGTTCCCTGTAAGACCGGCTCACATCATGAATCATTCACCAGCTATTCAAATTAGAAACTGTGACAATATTGTTTCAGTAAGATATTCTGGATGGAATGTAGTGACGATGTTGGAACACTTTACCAGTCTGCCATGTCTGGTGCTAACGTTACTCAGGCTAGTGGTTTTCAACATTCTTATATCAGATTCTTATATATTCAGATCTTGTAGCATTACCTCTTAATATTATCGTTTGTCAACTTTACGAAGAAGCGAAAAATGTAAATCTATACACTACAAACCTTCTTAGACCGATAGTGTATGAACCCTAGCCTCCGCCAGAAGTGGATATCAAATGATTTGTGACACTAAGTCAGAAGTGGATATCAAATGATTTGTGACACTAAGTCAGAAGATCGAACCTAACACGTTTCTAAATATAAAGCAGGATTGACTCCCACTACTCCACAAGTAATCCTCTCCCCTACTTACAGATACTAAACACTACCCAGTGTCCAGACAGCATGGATATAGCTCGTGAAAACAGTACAATATACTGGAACATAGCTGACAAACTGTACGAGTATCCTTACCTTCTACAACAGGTGCCCCCCCCCCCCCCCCCCCCCCCCCCCCCGCATTTTTATTTATCCAACATTTTTTATTCAACACTTTTACCAAACTTATCTAATAGATATTTTGTATTTATGGCGGTAGTATACGGCCTCTCACACATTGCGCACACAAATAAAAACTTTTTGTGAGAATATTTCTCCTACTAGGAAGTTGAAACGAGGGACCTCTACTTCGCCACCTCCACTCTGGTATGGGTGGAGGAGACTTTGTTCCTGCTTCGGGAGCAGGAGGGGGCGGAGAGACAAATGTTCGGGATTGATATGCCGTTTGAGACTGTAATAGATGTGGGAAACACTTCCTGTTTCGTCGCTTTCTCTCCTCATGATGCAGGTTTGTTGCAAATCATCGGATATTTAATTAATCTTTTAAATAAATTAATATCATTTCACATGCGGTATTTTGTTATTTTTGTTGCACCACAATTTCCAGCATTACCAGGATACCTGACCCATGGTCTCTGTTTGATCCCCACTAATTCCCACTAAATCCCACTAATTCCCACTAATTCCCACTAATTCCCACTAATTCCCACTAATTCCCACTAATTCCCACTAATTCCCACTAAATCCCAGGGTACTCGGAGTGTCAAATAAACAATGGTGGCTGCACTCACTTCTGCTTCAAAGAAGAGTCAGGTGTAAAGTGCGATTGCCCTGCACAGCACTCCCTACACCCAAATAACAGCACTTGCACCAAGTATGCTGAGCTTTATTTAATGAGTTTTACTTTTAAGGCCAAAGACATGTTTTACTTATGTATACTTAGGAATTTATTATGATTTTATGCCCTTCTTTTATTCTCAAATCATCTTACAAATGTGAAGATAGCCACGTCTTCACTACGGCAGCAATATAGTAACTCTAAATCCCCGTCCCCCAGATTGGGTGTGAAGTGTGACGAGGAGAGCGAGTACCAGTGTGGTTCAGGGGAGTGTATATCACGTGAATTTGTCTGTTCCTCCCACGCTGAGTGTATTGATCAAAGTGATGAGGTTGGAAGTTTTACTTGTCTGAATATTTTAATTAAATTTACACCAAAATGTTGGGTATCTTCGTCTCCGTTATTGATATATATTATCGACTGCTCGACGCTCTCAGCAATGAAGTGGCCCTTTTCAGTTATTATAAAGCAAAACCGCTATCTATAGTCATAGCCGCAATCTTATCACAATATTTGACGACTGTTTTCTAACCAGGCTGACTGCGGCTGGTGCTCCAGTTCCCAGTTCTCTTGCGGAGTGAAGTGTATTGACAGTACCTCACTCTGTGATGGCAGACTCGACTGTCTTGATATGGAGGACGAGAGTGTTTGCAGCTCTTCTAATGATTGTAATGGGTACGTTAGTTACTTTAACTTACTTATAACGTACTTTACTTGAAGTAACGTTTATGAAACTACGCGGAGAGGTTTAAATCTAATCCATAATAGCGCCCCGTAATATATTTTATTTCACGTTGTGATACCTAATTTTTGTTTTTAAACAGAAAACTACTTGGTTATTCGACATCATCCGATTGTTTTGTTGAATGCTTATCAGCATTTAAAACTCTGCCTTCAGTTATGTTCTCTTTTCTACTGCTCCAGCTATTACTCTCACACATATATTATAATAACCACCACGTCCTGATCTCCAGGCACGTAGCCAGGGGGGGGGGGCTAGGGGGGCGGCAGCCCCCCCCCCCCCCGGAAAAAATCGAACCCCAGAAAAAAGATAAGCCCCCTAGTCCCCATGGTCGCCTGGTAACTGGGCTGTGTTTATGACTGCAGTCAGTCAAAGATTTGAACTGTGGATTAGTAAATATATGTCATTAAATCCAAGCAAACATTCTAGAAGACTTCTATAATTATAGTCAATAGTGTCCCCTAGACCGTAGGAAATGTAAAAATCTTAAGACGATGAGGCCTGAGTAAGTCGTAAATTCTGATTGGAGAATGCAGATTGCTGTTGTGAAGTTACCAAATTTACGTGAGTACTTGATTCTTTTCAATCCCAGTTTATTGCTGTCCTACAAATTTCTTTAATGCCAAATGTCGTCTAAAACACCCTGTTTCGCAAAAAATTTCCGGGGGCTGCGCCCCCCTAGCCCCCGCCAAGGGGCTCCGCCCCTGGACCCCGCTGGGGGCTGCGCCCCCAGACCCCTGCCACAGCTTGCTCGCTTCGCTCGCTGCGCAGCTTGATTGGATGCGTCGGCTCGCTTCGCTCGCCGACAGCCCCCCTCAAAGAAAAATCCTGGCTACGTCCCTGCTGATCTCCCCTGACAACAGGTACAAGTGTAAAGGAACAGGAGTGTGTCTCCCAGCTAGGATGAAGTGTAACGGGTACAGGGAGTGTGAGTTGGGGGACGACGAGAAGAAGTGTCCCAGAGTGGTGAGTAACAAACTAACTACGTGTTAAAACGTGTCCCAGAGTGGTGAGTAACAAACTAACTACTGTTAGTGTTAAAACGTGTCCCAGAGTGGTGAGTAACAAACTAACTACGTGTTAAAACGTCCTGAGGGAAACGTGTACCTTGTTTTAATAAGTGGTGATGATTTTCCTGGCATTGAGTTTATTATCCAGGAAAGTTTATTTTTTGTTCTGCAATTGTTGACACTTATGTCACTCGTTACATCACCAATAAAAGAAGTAGCAGGATTTATTGGTGCCATCATTAGTATCGAATAAGTTATATCATTGTTGAAACCCTGACTCCTACTTTCTTACTTCTGCCGTGTTTTGTACTGAAATACCTACACCTCCCTCTGTAACACCTCTGTAACACCTCTGTAACACCTCTGTGACACCTCTGTAACACCTCTGTAACACCTCCCCCTTCAGGCTGCTAAGTGCAATCAGTTAGAGTGGAAGTGTAATGACGGTACTTGTATCAGTAAAACTTGGCTCTGTGATAGACATCCTGACTGTGCCGAGGGAGAAGACGAACAGGTTTATAATTATAACATATTTATAACATATTTATAACATATTTATAACACATTTATAACATATTTATAACATATTTATAACATATTTATAACATATTTATGACATATTTATGACATATTTATGACATATTTATAATATATTTATAACATATTTATAACATATTTATAATTCTAACAAATTTACTTTTGTTGCGTGTTTCTTGGGGTGTCTCATTATTAGTTGTATTTTTCTTTAAACTCTTTTGTTTTTGTCAATTATTATGTTGATATCATGCAAACTGCAAACTAAGTCAAAGTGAAACTGTCAATGGAAACAATTATAGATAAAATTAAACATACGGGTTAAAATTAAGGTATAATTAAAAAGTGGGGGGCCCAAAAGTATCAGAATTTATCAGAAGAGGCGAATCCAATTAAAACAATTTAAATGTATGTTGAACTGAAGTGCCCTACAGTTCAATCCCAAGTTTTCAAACGCTAAATTAAAAAGTAATCTGTGAGATGCAGTTCAGAAGCAAACTACCAGAGTATCTTTATCTCTACTTTATCTTTCGTTTTACTTGTTCTTCTCTGTCTTCTCTCCTCCTGCTGGGTATGTTCCGTCAAACAATAGTTAGTGTATTATAGAGCGAGGGAGAATGGAAGGAGATTTTTGAATAGTGTTTGTGAAACTTGCAATCCTTACTGTAAATTCTTGATTAAAAAAGAAAGAAAGATAGCTGAAGACTTTTTACTCTAAGATAAATCAAACTATTGGTAGACTAAAAAACACGCTTCGAACTTACCACGAGAAAAATTTGTATCACGTGATCTTATGTGAACTCTTCTAACGTGATGGTTTAACTTCTTCTTCACCTTGGCTCTGTAATCACAATGTTCGCATCCAAACGGCCTCTCGTCCGAATGTGTATGGGCCACATGAATTCGTAACGCCCCCGTATCAATCCCTCTGTAGTTACACTGAGAACATGGGTAAGGTCTCTCTCCAGTGTGAGTACGTTTGTGACGTGTCAAGCTCCCATTGGTTGATGCTGCGTAGTTACACGTGTCACAAGTATACGGCTTCTCCCCGCTATGAGATCGCTTGTGGATTATCATATCAGATCTAGTTTTGGATCGGTAATCGCACTGATTACACTTGTGGGGACGGACCTCGCTGTGAGACCGTGCATGCATCTTCAATCTGCTTTTAGTAATGGCACTGTAGGAACATTTATCACAGTGGTGAGGTCTTTTCCCAGAGTGAATAAACATATGCTCATTCAGATAGCATTTTAGCTTGGTCTGATATCCACATTTATCACACTTGTAGGGTCGCAGACTGGTATGTGTGAGTTGGTGTGACTTTACTCTACTTAGAGTACTCCCTCTGTAATCACACTCATCACACTTGAAAGGTTTTTCTTTAGTGTGCGTGCGTTTATGAACCATTAACTTCCACCTACCTCTTGCAGAGAAGCTACATTGATCACAAGGGTACGGCCTCTCCCCCGTGTGTATTTTACGGTGTTCTTTTAGAGAATTCTTAGATTTAGTTGAAAGGTCACAGATATCACACTTATAAGGTCGTTCACTGGTGTGAGTACTCATGTGTGATCGAAGGGCACTACTTTGCTTAGCCTTATAATCGCACAAAGTACATGTGAAAGGTTTCTCTCCGGAGTGAGTGCGTTCGTGTGATTTTATCGCTGATGCAGTAGCTGCTGAATAATCACACTTTTCAGTTTTACACCGAAATGGTTTCTCTCCTGTGTGAGTAAGCATGTGACTGTTAAGATTCCCTTTCTGTTTCGCTTTATACTCACACCGATCACATTTGTACGGTCTTTCTGCGTTGTGTCGGCGCAAATGAACCTTCAGGTTGCCTTTAGTGGTAAATGAGTGGTTACATATTTCGCACTGGTAAGGTCTCTCGCCAGTGTGAGTACGCATATGAGTAGCCAGAGAGCCTTTCTGTGCTGCCTGGTAATCACACTCTTCACATTTGTATGGTCTGTCCAATGTGTGAGTGCGCTTGTGGATTGTCAGACCTCCTCTCTGACAACACGAAAAGTCACACTTATCACACTGAAAGGGTCTCTCGCCAGTGTGAGTGCGGATGTGTGTCACAAGAGAACATTTATGCTTACACTGATAATCACACCGATCACACTTGTATGGTGTCTCTGCGGTGTGTGAGCGCATGTGAATTTTCAAGCTGCATCTAACGGCTGCTGAGTAATCACACTTTTCACATTTATAGGGTCGCTCGCCAGTGTGAGTGCGCATGTGTGATTTAAGAGCACCGCTCTGCCTGGCTTTATAATCACACTGAGTACATACAAACGGCTTTTCCATAGTGTGAGTACGTTCGTGTGATTTCAGCGCTGATCTGTTGGTAGCTGAAAAATCACACTTTTTACACTCGAAAGGTTTCTCTCCGGTGTGAGTACGATCGTGAATTTTCAACCTTCCTTGTCTGGCTGTTGAATAATCACACTTTTTACACTGATAAGGTTTCTCCCCAGTGTGGGTGCGCATGTGAACTGCAATGCAGCTCTTTGTTTTGGCTGAGTAATCACACAAACTACAGATAAAGGGCCGCTCCCCAGTGTGGGTGCGCATGTGAACTGTCAGGTTACCGTTAGTGGTCGCCGAGTAATCACACTTTTCACATTTATAGGGTCTTTCTCCAGTGTGAGTGCGCATGTGTGACTGAAGATAAAATTTCTGCCTGCCTCGATAGTCACAGAGGTTACATTTAAAAGGTTTTTCTACGGTTTGAGGTTCTGTCATAGAGTCGTCGTCCATTGCAGGATCAATAAGTGCCATGTTACATAGTCGTTTGATGTTTATGACTGCTAGAGTTAATTTCGTTAAATTTTATTGACGAAACAGAATTAAAATTAACGCCTTGCAAAACATGAAAATAGTGATTGTAATAAAGTAAAAGAATACAGTAAAGTGGTTTAACGACGATAATGCAAGATACATACTAACTTTGATTAAATTTAACAAAGGTAATGTACCCACAGCTACAAGAGTTCATGGTTCCAATTTTGCAACCTTGACAGTCAAAACAAACACTAATTATCATTATTAATTATCGCCTCGTTTACGATCGAGTACATTAAAAAATCATGCAGGAATGGCTTCGGTGGAAAATTTACTGTGACCTGGAAATTATAAACTTCCAAAGTGCAACTGTCCAGTTATAAAACTCAATATAAATTTCAACTATTCCAGGAATGCGCAGCATGTGATCCCGTACTACAGTTCGACTGCGGAGACCGCTGTATCAGTGTCACTGATGTGTGTGATGGTTTTATTCACTGTAAACAGGATGGAAGGGACGAGGCTAACTGCCAAGGTAACTTACTAGAATTTGTATCCATTATATTAATCGATATACGCTACGATTTTTATAGCATTTTTTACTCACTTCAAATTTCATAACTGGCATAATAAGCATTATTTTTAGGTTTATTTTTTTCCTCAATCTTGTAGTTGAACTCTCTCAAAATTAGTAATGCACTATTTTTATTGTACATTACTAATTGTGATAGAGTTCAACTACAAGATTCAGAAAAAAAAATTCCGAAAATAATCCCACTTCAGCATGTAAAAAGGGACAGAAACAGTGTAAGAATGGCCAGTGCAGGGCCACTAACCGGTGGTGCGACCGGACCCCGGACTGTTCCGACCGGTCAGACGAGTGGAACTGTACCTACACTATGGTAGATCCCCGAACTGATGGGAATCAGGTCTGTCAAACTGGGGGCTCCGCGTGTGAACCATGTTGAAAGCGTGTAGCCACATTTGGGGCTTAAATCGTACAACTTCGGGCAAATTTTGATTGACAGACATTGTTATGAGTGTGCCGTTAAATTTATCCGACTGACTTACTTATTTTAAAGTTCTCCTCGCTGTTTCAGAACCACATAGCCCCCACTCTGATAATAATATTCGCTGCCCTCTTCATGACTGTGGTGGGAGTTGGGCTTCTCTACAAGTTCAACATTCTACCTCGAGTCAGATCTACCTACAAGCAGCTCACTCAGTCCAGCAACAAAACAGTAAGTATTTTAGAACGGAACCTAATGATAATTTGCTCTCTCATTTCCTCGTCTCTAAATGTCTAAAACTCCTCCTGTACAGGTGGAGACGAACGTATGTGTCACTACAAACACCTACTCGGAACTGGAGACAACAGTATGTAGTTCGGATGGTGCCTGGCAACGGAGGAACAACAAGTCTCTAGATCACTATGAGACTATCACTAACAGTTCTATAGGGTCCAGTCTTAAACCTATTAACACGTTAGTAAACAGGGGAGATTGAGTGATTAAGTATGCGGTCACGAGAGGGCGAATACTGAATATTCCAATCTTCCGTTGAATTATTAATCATAATCAGAGGTGGTTAGTTATTAACTCAGCGAGTAAATACTAACACAAACAGTTGTGTTTGTGTTATTGCTAATAGTACGAGGCCACAAAATAACATTCGACAACCAGCTGGACTAACCTTTTATTACCAGCTTGCAGCTCAGCAACTGTAATGAATATATATTTTGACCTTGATGATGTGTTCTGTAAGTGTAAGTTCAAAGTTGTAACACAGTTTTGACGAGCATCTTTTCAGACAAAACCCATACGAAAGGTTCGGTATTGCTCCAGTGCAGAGCACTACAGATGTCAGCATCGCAGACGGACCTCCACCCTCAATAGCTAGCGGGGGCTACTCCTCTGGTCCCGGGGCCTCCTCGCGCGCACCTTCACGTGCACCTTCTGCCAGATCTCACGCGCACTCCGCGCGATCACGTGCTACTTCAGCCCGGTCACGTGTCCCCGTCAGTTACCAGTACCACGTTAACAACAACGTCATCTGGGACGATCATATCAACAGGTAACATTTATTCGTACTAATTATCATATTTGATATTTTATCTCCACATTTTCTATTGTTCTCAAAATCGATATAATTATTATGTTGGTCCCCATTTAATTTTATGAATAACTAACGTATCTAAATTTCATTTTCCTCAGTGTGTCAGATTACGATCAGAACTGTTTATCAGACAATTATCAGTCCGAGTTTTCAGTGGGGTTCTCAACCTCCCGTCCGGAGCGACTAGCACGGAACCTAGCTCCTTGTGGAACTCCTGTCACCACCGACAACGACGACTGATCACATGATATTTGTCGTCATTTAGTCGTCCTAATCACTAATATCTTAGATCTGCTGATAATGTGATAGCCAAGCTCCGTGTGATGTATTTGGAGTGATGTTTGCCGGCGCCGTCGGTTACCTACTGTTATCTACTGCATATTGTAATTTATACTTTGTGTAATATAAAGACATTGATTATTAGTTCATTTTTGAACTAACTATTGGCTCATTTTGTTTTTATCCAGGTTTGTATCTTGATCACCACCGAATGCTGTTTTTAATTTTTTGGAAGAGACTGAGAGGATGATTTCAGGAAGGTCAAGATTCCTATGCCATTTAAGTACCTGGTGTTTTTTGCTAACATTTTAGCAAATTTTTATAAAAGTGATAGCGAAATCATCTTTACCGACATTAATGTAATAATTATAATGTACTGATACATAATTTGATGATTTTATTTTATAATTGACATTTTGAATACTGAATTAAGTTCTTTGAATGAAGTTCTTCGACCTTGGACCTGTTTACCCTATTTAACTTAAATTCTAAAGGCAAATCGTTTATTGAGTCGGATATTTTAATCTTAATCTGATCAGTAATCTCAATTTATTTGGAACACTATTCTCGATGTTTCACTTGTATTCTCGAACATGAGTTGTGGTTTGATTGCATAATGCATCCAAGTTGGAAACTGTATAGTAATGTCAAAGTAGCGGCGCACGCTACTTTGTCATTTGTACAACTCAGCACCCTGCCTCGGACCATAATATTTCGAGAAGAAAGCTGTGCGCGCTACTTTGACGGATGTTACTCGTCTGTATGGTCTAAATTTCTTCGAAGTAGGGCCAAGAGCGCGCCGCTTTCTTCTTAACGGGTACGTGATACTCGTAAAATATCTGTTCCAGGACCGTCGACGAGTCCAACTCGGCGCGCGTACTGGTAGGTTGTAAACCTACAACTTTCTTCTCGAAATATTATCTGCCCGAGGCTTACCTGGGGACCCTAGTAGTGAAGTCATTCCCGATCTCATTTTTAAATCCCGGGAATCCCGACCGAAATAAATCCTGGAAATCGGGATTCCCCAACATTTAAAAGTAAACATGATCAAATAATTTTTCTCGCAACCGTAGATCTTGTCATTGGTCATACGTTGTAGCGCGATGCGTTACTGTGCCGCGCCGCGCACTCAATAAGGCTTCTCACAGCGACAGTAACGTGAATTCCAGGTTTCCAACTCCCAGCTGCTGGGAGTTGAAACTACCGGAGCGCATTTTTATTTGAATTCTATTTGGAGTCGAGCGCTACGTTATACTGCTATATATAGCTCGTTTCAAGTCGAAATCCTCATTTGTTCAGTTTGTCTTTCGGCTACGTTCCTACTTTTATTTTAAATCGTGTATGCGAATCTTCTTCATTAATCTTATGAACCAGCTGATTTTCGTAACGGAAGAGATATCAAGAATCTATCTTTTGAGCTTTAGTTACGTTTCTTCTCAATTTTGATAGAACATGGAACAGTTGTCGTTTTAGAACTAAGAACCTGTTGTGTTTTGTAGTAATTAAGCATTCTTGGGCCGAAACCATTTAATTCATTAATTCCGTATGATCTATTACTCAGCAAATTGAAGGTCAGGAATCTTTTCATTTACATTGGGAACGGTACGATTACCAGCTTATTAAGCAAATACAGAAACTCGACTGACTTGTTTGAGTTTGTGTAAGTTAGTTCAGTTACTAGAAACTAATGTCCTCTTTTACAGTAACTTCAAAACTGTCAACGCCGGTTTAAATGCTTTTATACAGAAACTGATTTAATATGTGTACATATATATATATATATTGTATAAGGCCCTTATAATAAGGGTAAGTCAAGATCACTGTCCAATTTTGATATTTCAATTTTCAATCATTGATTTATGAAGTAGCATGGTTGTTGAATGTTGAAATTGGTTTAATAGGCTTGTTCGACTATTTAGGTTCTACTTCTGAGCAGCATAGGCCGATCATAACATATTTCCCCAAAATATCGTATTTCAATATCATTAATATATGTCAAGAGATACATTACTATGTTACCAGGCCGGCTGTTCGGATTAGTATCCATTATTGCTGAGATTAATTATACATGGTGAGTATATTGACTAATACCAATCGTTTAATCGGTATTTACCTATTATCGGTGTCGTATTTTCAGCTAAATATTAAACAATCGAAACTTAAAAGGACCGTGGCCGTAATTTTGTACCCTCCTAGTCTTAGGTTATCACACCCCTATTTACCTCTTAATCACAGCCTAAATGTAGGAGTCATACAATAACATGATTATCGCTTGGGCAAGTTACATTATATTAGCCTCCTCAGGTGAGCAGTCATGTAGATATATATTAGCTGTATACGATTTAGGTAAGAAGTCACAGAAACTTTGAAGCTGATTTATTTGTATCTCTCCTAGTTCTGTGTAGGCTGCATTAAGGTTAGATGCTAGGGATACAAAATACTTATATTGAATTCATTAGCTATAACTCTGCGATCAGTTATATTTTCATTGTCTATGGTAAATATAGGTCTGATATCACGTTTCTGTTTGCCACGAATTTTATTTATCAGTTCCCAGGTTTTCTTGGAGTTTCCCTGAGTTTCAAGAAACTTGTCAGAATAAT